CCACCCACCCACACCCCATCCACATCCATACCCACCCACCCACACCCACACATTTGTACTCGTATACATGGGACGAAGATGTTGATGTGAATCTGTTGTTGTTGGTGGTGTTGTTGTTGAAATATATGTCGACGATGAATAATCCATTGATGTTGAATTATATGTTGTTTGAGTTGTATATGGATCAATTGGATAATTATCTATAAACATATGAAAATATGGATCGATCAAGTAAGATGACGAAACGTCAGGTAATAATTGATAATCATAATTATTATTATCAGTTGTATGATACTGACTAGGATTTGATGAGCTATTAAAATCAAATGATGATGGAAAATAAAATGATTGATTTAATGTATTACTATTTGATGAAGAATTTTGCTATATATCACTTCTTGTTATCATGTTACTCTTAGATACTGTTGTTTTAAGAAAACTGTCCTGAGGTGAATATATCGGTAAACTTGAATTGGGTCGAAAGTAAAAAAATCGAAAAATAAAAACGTCGAAAACAAAAACGTCGAAAATAAAAACGTCGAAAGTAAAAACGTCGAAGAATAAAAATGTCGAAAACGAAAAATATCGAAAATTAAAAATGTAAAAAATTAGAATGTCACATATGTATGTAGATAATGTAAAATATGGAATTGAAAAATATCGAAAGAAAATCATCTTGAACGAAGAAAATTTTGTTGTTGGCTAGTTGGTAAAATAGCCAAAGTTGTTGAATTACTAGACACTTTAGAAACTTCTTTTTCATATATGATTGAAACTGGTAATAATTCGTTAAGGCACATTCTTTTGTCTTTTTTGTCGCTTTTGTCTAGCTTCAATTTTTTCTGGATTTGGTTCATGGTAATGTTGACCTGTACCACCATACAAATATTTATCATTTAAATCTCTATGAAAATACATGTTATACTTATTGTTAATACACGACCAATATATTTTAATGGATGTTTTTTGTTACATTTGTATATATGATTATTCAGCACCAACAACAATTGATCTTTATTTGATGTGAGAAAACTAACTTCAATATTGTTTTGAACAGATGTTTCATTCGCTGCCACCATTGTAAACTTGTTTAGTTTCCAGCTGCTTATCACGATGTTGCTCCAATGTATATTTTTTTGTTTGTGCAGTTGTTTGTGAAATTATATTTGTTTACCATTTTGACCAATTACGTCGTCGGCCAATAGGATGGGTTCATCAATGTCCATCGCTATACATATCGATTGCTAGAGTCATCTCTACCTATGTTCCATTTATTCTAATCCGCTGTCAAACTTCTGCATTTTGAAACAGCACACTTCTTAACAATTTCTTTTCAACGTTCCGATATGTTGATGCTTTAATAATG